CCATTCCATTTATATTCATTTATTTAATCCTCACAACCTAGTAAGGTAGAGGCTATTATTTTTTCCTCATTTTGTGTATGAGAGAATTGAGGCTTGGAGAAGTCATTTGCCTGAAGTCACACAGCTTAAGTAAGTTTTAGCCATGATTCAAACAATGATTCAAACCCAGGTGATTTGGGTTGAATTAAATGATATATCTCGAAGTTGACTTCTGCCTTTAATTTTCTGTGATTTTGAGCAGCAGTCTTTGGTGAACAGTGGGAAGATGATGATTTCTTATGGTTAATGTTCGAACAGCACCTGTGTCTGAGGTGGCTTTGGAAGAGCGGATGCTCCCTTGCTCCCTTTTGCTGTTCCTCAGTGCACAGCAGTCAGCTTCCACGGAAGATGACAGTTTAATCTGTAGAACTTGTTTAGGATAGTAATGTTAGCTAATGCCATTGTGTTGATATAGAGAAAACAGGAGGGATTGTCTCCTGCCCCATTTTATCTATCTCCTCGGTTTTGTCTGGGGAAGCAACCTAGACATAAGCGTGTAAGATGGAACGAGACCGTAGAAATCTTCCTGTTCTGACCCTTCACTTGTCTGATGGCTAGGTAACTCCACTAAGGTCACCCTCAGTTATCTAGTGGTTGCATGCAGACAGGACTAGAATCCTAGATTACCTAGTTTTAGTCTAATACCCTCTGAAATGCGCACTGCCTCCCTTTATAGATGTCTAATCTTAAACTAAGTTCCTGGCCTGTTTAGGAAGATTTTGTCTATTACAGCTACTTAAATTTGTTCAAAACTTTTGTTTGTTTTGAGTCTACCTTTGTTGTGCTGCATCCGTGCAGTAAGATCCTGGAGGCTTTTTTAATGCAATGCTGCCGCTCCCTGGTTGTAGGGCAGTATTGCATTAGGAAGTCCAGTACACTTTCAGCTGCCTTTGTAAAGGCTACTATTAGGAGTCATAAACCTAGGTACAAAATAAACTAGAGCAGTGATTGTGTGTGTGTGTAGTCATTAAATATGCCTGTGACAGAAGATAACATAATGTGACCTCAAAAGGTTGCCAGAATCACTGGCTTGGTTCTGAAAAATAGTCATTGTACATATGATTGCCAGTTATGGTACTTTTAAGATTATTTCTGTTCTTTTGGATTTCAGACATCTTAGATGTGTTACAGAAATACATAGAAGTATGGGTTTTAGAACATTGTTGCTAGGACTGCTAGTAGGTCCAAATTCCTTTGTGTGCTATAGAGAAATTCATTACGGTGAGCATTGAAGCATCCATTAGTAGCTCAGTGATTAGAGATCACTGTCATCTCTTGAAAGAAATCATGCTGGTGAAGAAATAACTCCTACAATTTTCAGCAAAGTTCTTGAAATTTTTCTGTGAAGCACAGGTTATAGTCACTTATTAACAGAGAAAACTACTCTTTAGTACCTACTCCTGTACAGATGCTTTTCCATCTTTTTAATTCTTTCATTAGTCCTTTTAGGTAGGTTTCAATATTCCCATTTTACAGAAAAGGCGAGAGTCAGAGAACCTTAGTAACATGCCCAGAGTCATGTAGCTGGAAGTGGTAGAGGTGGGATTTGAACCATGACACACTTCCCTGTGTTTTTACCTGCAGTCTATGTTCCCCACCCAGTAGTGCTTGAACCAGTCTTTATTCTTACCATTCTGGTTTAGCTTTCCTTAGAAAGGAAACTGTTAGACCGTTGGTTTTCAACTGGGGAGTAATTTCGCCCCCACAGGGGACATTTGACAATGTTTGGAGACATTTTTGGTTGTCACAATGAGGGAGGGGTGCCACTGGCTTTTAGTTGTTGGAGGCCCGGGATGCTGCTAAACATCTAACAGTGCACAGGACTGGCCCCCACAACAGACTTATCTGGACCAAATGTCAAAAATCTGAGGTGAGAAACCCTGTATTAGACGGTGTGTCAGTTTATCACTGAGTTTGCCAACAGGCTCCGCCCCTTCCTCTGGTCTGTCTCCTTCTTTCCGTGATGAGTGCTCTCACCCTGGTCCTGCTTTTTATCCCTCTGCCTAGGAAAGAAACTGTAGCCTTCTAGCTGCTCTTGCGCGTCCTGGTGTTTTTTTTGTTTGTTTGTTTGTTTTCAATTAATTTATTTTTTTATTTTTTATGGTTTTATTATCAAGTTTACCTTACAACTCCAAAATATGCAGTATTTCTGTTATTTTATTGAGAGATATTTTAACTTCTTGATGCAAAATTTCTCTATATTTAGGAAAGATTGAATTGATTACTCCTAAATCATTAAATAAATAAATCCATTTATTTCCCAAATATTTTATTTTTCAATTTTATTCAGAGACTAGAAGATTATATGCCTCTACCAAAATGTAAGTTCCTTGGGAAGAAGGATTTTTGTTTATTTTGATTTTTGTCTACTTTTGTTCAAAAAGAACAGTACACATAGAACACTACTTGGGTCATAGTAAACTCAATAAATATTTGCTGAAAAATTAAATGGTTCTCAAATAACACCTTGGTTTTGGAATATAGCAGGCATTGAAGTAGCTGATATATTTTTTTTTTATTATTAATGTTATGATAGATTACAATCTTGTGAGATTTCAGTTGTACATTTTTGTTAGTCATGTTGTGGGTACACCACTTCCCCCTTTGTGCCCTCCCCCCAACCCCCCTTTTCCCTGGTAACCACCGAGCAGATCTCCTTATCAATATACTAACTTCCACCTATGAGTGGAGTCATATAGAGTTCGTCTTTCTCTGACTGGCTTATTTCGCTTAACATAATACCCTCGAGGTCCATCCACGTTGCTGTGAATGGGCCAATTTTGTCTTTTTTTATGGCTGAGTAGTATTCCATTGTGTATATATACCACATCTTCTTTATCCAATCATCAGTTTCTGGGCATGTAGGTTGGTTCCACGTCTTGGCTATTGTAAATAATGCTGCGATGAACATAGGGGTGCAATGGACTCTTGAGATTTCTGATTTCAGGTTCTTAGGATAGATACCCAGTAATGGGATGGCTGGGTCATAGGGTATTTCTATTTTTAACTTTTTGAGAAATCTCCATACTGTTTTCCATAGTGGCTGTACCAGTTTGCATTCCGCGCATCCTGGTGTTTTGTACCTCACTGCCCGTGTATTTGGTCAGCAAGGGAGATAGAAGACCCCATTTGTCCCAGAGATTTAGAAGCCCATTAAAGGCCAAACTACAGTTGGGATTCAGCTTCCTCTCGGTATCTGGCAGAACATTTACCTGTGCTGCAGAGAGACGGACCATGTGCATCTGGATATGTCTTATACTTTATCTTTGTGTCTTTCTTAGGTCTCCTCCTTTGCCTGGAAAGAATCCATTGAAATCTTTCCCAATTTTTTTTTCCCAGGTCAGGTGTTACCTGCTCCATCCATAATTCCCTGCTGGAAGTAATTGCTCCTGTCTATAAACTCCTATATATAACATTTATTCTTGTTGTGTAGCATACTGATTTGTCCTCATTTTCCCACCTGCGGTGTAAATGGTGTAGAATATAAAAGTGCAAAATGCATAAAAACTAAAAAGTATCCCTAAAAAGTATCCCTTATGTAGGATTATTCTTTGTATACAATCTACTTTATTCAAACCAGTAATGGTGCCCTTTTTTTTTTGGTAGGCTTGTCTATTTGACACAGTTAATTGCACAGTTTGCACAGTAAGAATCTTCGTGTTTATGATATTTACTTTGGAATAGCACTTCTTCACATTGGAGTTCAGTCAAGATGTTTGGCAATTTTTTTTGTGTGTGTGTGGTTCTTTAAATGGCTTAAATATTTTAGCAAAGGTTTTTTTTTTTTTTTTTTTTTTAGCCTTCCTGCTTTTTAGTGAAGACTCTATGTATACCTCTCAGTAAAGCAAAAAGCATCTTACTTGATTAAAGAAGGCTCTTTGATGTATTTTAGGATTTAGCCATCTTCTTTATACATATGAGGAATTTCAGCGCTCATTCATTTCTGACCTGCTGACTTGTGATGAGAAGATAGAAGCTGCTAAGAGGAGTGGTATTGCATTCACCATGGGGAAGTCTCTTAAGGCCCTCACCTGGGTTGGAAAAGTATTGTATGAGGCGCCACAGGAAGCCTTAGTTCACTGCCATGTTGAGATGTTTCACGACCAGGTGCACAGATACAATCTACCTCAAGTTGTAGCCCCATAGCCTTCACATGGAAGGACAATATTTGATCCTTTATTCTTTCAATGAACTAGGAACAAAGTTGACTTTTAGAGATAACGTGGGTTACATGTCCCACAGACATTGATGAGGCCCTGATCGTCGTAGAACTCTTCGTTATTCACAAATATTTATGTACAAGGTGTTCTGTTGTCTGGAAATTTGAAAATAAATAAGACAAGAGTCCCCACTCCATGGACTCATAGTACCTTCATCACCACCCATAGTTTGTTCTGTTGGTTTGCAATATAGCAGTAACTTCAAATAAAGTGGCAATAAAGTGGAGGGAGAATGTAATTCAATCTGGGTGATTGGCAAACCTTGGAGAGATGACTTTGTGCCAGGGCTTGCTGGATAAATTCTTTCCAGCTTGTTGCCTATAATGGCTTTGACAGTGTGCTAACAGTTTATAAATGTTTATTGCCAAAGTGGTTAAGGATTAAGATAGAAGAAGGATGTATTCATGTAGTACTACTATATAGTTAATGCTAAATAAGAACTATAATATTGAATGAATTAGTTAATCAAACTGGGGAGATTTACAGATTCAAATTTTATGTCTTGTTTCCTGAAATAAGCAGCTTTGAGGGGTAGAGTCAGAAAGGTCCTGTGGCTGGGATTTTTAAAAAAGTAGAATTTGACCTCATAATTGACTTAAGTATTTTTGTGGTCCTGGTTGTAATTGTCTGTCTCCCTCTCTGCCTGTCCACCTGTTTCCAGGGGCTTTTGATCATGGGTATGGTATGCACCTGTGGGCACCTGAAATCTTGTTCCTAATGCTGTTAGATTTTCCTTTTCAGAGTAAGAGGGACCATCTACTCATGAACGTCAAATGGTACTACCGTCAATCTGAAGTTCCAGATTCTGTGTATCAGCATTTGGTTCAGGATCGGCATAATGAAAATGGTAAATAGTCTTTCTGGTTTGATCTTACACTTTCTTAGCTTTGGACAAAGTTCCTTCTAAAAGCATTCATTAAGTAGAGATAACTACTATGAAAAATTTTCTCTAAAAAAACTTTTATAAATAAGGACATTGCTGAAGTGTTTATTATTTTTGTTGCTGAGTTCTTTCATTATTTTTGCCTTAAAAAAAAACCCACCAAAAAACCCCCAAACTGTCAGAGCATGTGCTCATAGCACCTTTACCTTTGAATAGAGACAGGCGTTCTGTGGAAATAAGAGTCCTTTTTTGGGGGGAGGAAGATTGGTCCTGAGCTAACATCTGTTGCCAGTCTTCCTCTTTTTTGCTTGGGGAACATTGTCACGGAGCTAACATCTGTGCCAATCTTCCTCTGTTTTATGTGAGATGCCGCCACAGCATGGCTTCATGAACAGTGCTAGGTCTGCGCCCGGGATCCATCCTAACCTGTGAACCCTGGGCTGCCAAAGTGGAGCATTCAAACTTAACCGCTACACCACTGGGCCAGCCTCATAATTTCACTTTTTTTCTTTTCCCCCATCCTTTTTCTCACTTAATGATGAACTCTAGTAATATTTAAAACCCTATAGGATTGTATTTTATTTCTTTTTTTCTTTTCAATAATCTGTATTATTGAACTTTTCTGTATTCAAGGTTGTGAACATCAGTTTTCAAAGCAAAGCTATTCTGAATATTTTGGAATTCAGATTGAGTCTTGACTTTCAAAATAATAAGGAAGCTAGTTCAGAGCATCTTTTACTTTTTCTCCCTCTGGCATTGTAGCTTGTACCTAATAACTTTATTTACATATGAGATATGGACATAAAATGTATATTACATTTGTTCAGGTGTATCATAGCTCTTTCTTACTGATTTTTGAGAGATGCTAGACTTCACGTTTGTTACCCATTGATTAGGGTTTGTTACTCTCCCCTTCCAGATGAGGAAATCAAGGCTTAGTGATGCTAAGAGAGTTGCCAAGGCCACATATGTAAGGCCGGGATCCAGCTCTGTCTAGCCCTGATGTCTGAATTCTTCGTACTCTTCTGCGTTGCTTTTGGTGATAGGTTTTGAGTCAACAAACCAGTAGTCAAAGACAGTTTTGAAGAATGATGTTCTTTTATATATTACTAGTTGTTTTTCTTCTTTGAAACTATAAAAATTCCTGTTAAAGCATTTAAACTATGGTTCCTTATTAAAAACAGTAGCTTGTTAAGTGAAATAAGCCAGATAGAGAAAGAAAATCTCTGTATGACTCCACTCATATGTGGAAATTAAATATGTAGACAAAGATAACAGATTAGTGGTTACCAGGGGAAAGGGGGGGTGGGGGTGGGCACAAAGGGTGAAGTGGTGCACCTACATCACGACTGACAGACAATAATGTACAACTGAAATTTCGCAAGGTTGTAAACTATTGTAATCTCAATAAAAAGTTAAAAAAAATAGTAGCTTGTTTATTCTTTTCAACAGAACCAATGTGGTTTCACCCCATCCTGGAATATATAGCAGTAAAACATAAGATGGACTAGATCACTAAATATTTTAGTAGTTTACAAGTTGCTAGAATGTGATAGTTATTTCTTGTCTTTTTCCTTCTTTTTTCGTTTTTGTGCTTAATGCATTTTGGCGAACTGTGGGGACTTAGTAAAGGATATAAAACATATCCAACCGGATACTTTGTTCCTGTTATTCCTGCTATATGTAATTCTCTTCTCTATTTTGCTGACCAGGCCTGGTTATTTATTGTGCTTTCTTTAGTGGGTGGTGAACCTGAAAGAAAAATTTTGCAAAATCTTCCTAAATGTTTTGGGAAGCTCAATTTTAATATCTTCTTAATTAATTGATTTTTTTTTTTTTGACAGACTCTGGAAGAGAACTTGTCATTACAGACCCAGTTATTAAGAACCGAGAGCTCTTCATTTCTGATTACGTTGACACTTACCATGCTGCTGCCCTTAGGTAAGTGCCAGAGATGGATCTTTCCTGTGAGGGAGAAGTCATCGAACATGTGAGGTAGAGAGTCTAAGCTATCCTGATCTCTTTTGATAATCATGATGTTAATCAAAGTACTCTTATGGTCTCAGTAAACTAACACTGCAGTATTAACTTTGTGGATTATTAGGATTTCAGAGGTTGCCTCTATCTTCACTCATCTGTGTGAGAAAAAGAAAACAAAACTATTTTTGTCTATTTTATTTTTTTTACACCCTCTCTATAGTTTTGTGTCTTTATTTCCTTGATAATGACTGTCCTGGTAGTGGTTGCTAAAATATTTAGGGTGAAATATTATGATGGACTACAGATTATTTCCTAAAGAGATTCAGTTACTGCCACTAGAAAAGGTAGATAAAGAAATGGGTGAAACAAATATAGCGGCATGTAATTAATTGAGAATCTAAGCAAAGTTTACAGAAATTTTCATTGATCTATTCTTTCAATTTTCTGTATATATGAAAAATTTCCTACTAAAATGCTTGGGGGTAGGGAGAATATACTGAAGATTTTATTCTGAGGCAAAGGTAACATTGCAGTTAATCTTAATGTCTTAGTAATTATGTCAAAAAGTGACTATGAGCCCCTATTTTGCACCGTCTGATATTTTCTGTCTCTTTCAAGAAAAGGATGCCCATATATTCTGGTGTATTTTGTATATAAGTAGAAGACTTTGGGCTTCTTAAGTGGAAATAAGACAAATAATATTCTTATAACTCTTTCTGCAGTGGAAATAATAAAGTGATGAAAGACCTTTCTTTGTTAAATACGGTTTAAAAAAAAGTCATAGAGATTTGCTGGCTTTTAGCTGAACTATAATGAGATACAATAATTATTATATTGCTCAGATGGTACTCAGTAAAAACCATCTGGAGTCTCTTGTGCAAAGCTACATAGCTAAAGCTAGTTATTTCAAGGCAAATTAGTAGCAACTTTTAATGTAGGGCAGGTTTTGACAAACTTTTTGGGCCAGATAATCTTTCAAACAGTCTCTGTTGAAACTACTCATCTTAGTCATTGTAGCGCAAAAGCCATAGGCAACATGTAAATAAATGAGGTGGCTGTGCGCCAATAAAACTTTATTTAAGGACACTGAAATTTGAATTTCATTTGATTTTTTTTTTTAGCCATTTAAAAATGTAAAAGCCATTTTTAGTTCTCAGGCTGAACAAAAACAGGCAATGGGCCAGATTTGGCTTATGGGCTATAGTTGGCCAACCCCCGCTGTAGGGGAGGGAGCGTATGTGGTTAGATTTGGCTTCTTATAGGACCTCAGATAAATTTAGAGAATTCCTGTGGTGTTTTATAAACTTGTTCTAAAATTCCCACAAGCTTTTTGTGTCTTTGTGGTGATGGCTTTCTGATCTTAAACTCACATGCTAAAGAAAGCAAGTTAATGGGAGGTTGGATAGTTTCATGGAACTATTAAATTGTTAGCTAAGACAAGTGGCTTGATCCTGGGATTATTTCTTATCCTGCTTTGCATACTTTTTCCCTCCTCTTTCCATCTTGTTTCATTGGTTGAGGTAAATGATTTTGAGCGATTTAGGGTTGAAGTTAAAATAAATAGATGAGATATATAGCCCTGGTTATTCAATATGTTTTGATATATTTGCTTAAAGTTAGTATATTTGAGTATTTATTAGAGGCTATTACAATTTATAAAGTTATTTTATGCTATTTTAGCATTTTTAGAAGAGCTGGTTGTCCTAGGCAATTCCAGCTGGACCCAGATTAATTTACTTTAACCAAGTTTACAATCATATTTTCTGGAGATGTGTAAATGTATAGGTCACTGTCTCTTCATTGGCCACTAAAGGGCTGGAGTACTAAAGTGGTGATTCCTTATCTTCTTTTCACTGTCTATGTGACTTGGAGCCCTTCTATTGATTAGTTATTTTCTCCTGTGGTATTTTCTTTAAAGTGGTCATAAAGTGATTTTATAAAGCTGTAATCTTAAATTTGATTTTGTTGGCTTCAAAAAGAGCATCTTATGTGTGACTTGACAGTTGGGTTTTTTATCAAAGACACCAGATGATAGTGGTCACATAGTTACTGAATGATCTGGCCTAGTAGATGCTCAGTAAATGCTTGTGGACATATTGACATTTGCCTGCATCTGGAGCTCATCTCTGTGGTTCTTACTGTTGCTTAGTAATCTCACCTGGTTCTCAGTGGCTGATTGCTCACTGTAAGATCATCTTTGATAAAAGCAGAATTGACTGACAGTGCCCCCAGGAATCTCTGTTTATTCCTTTTGTCTTCACCAAAGCTAGATTACTTTAATTAAAAAATATTGTTGGGTGTGGGGTATATTAAGCTTTAACTTTTTCTTCCAATCTTTTCTTCACCATTTATCCACAGAAAGAATTTTTTCTTTCTCCATAGATATAAAGCAGTACTGCCAAAAATAAATTCAAAATTGAAAGCGAGATAAATAAAATAGTGCGTAGGCACATGAAAGAGGATCAAATAAATATAATGAAAAACCGTGAAGGACGAAAAAGAAAAAGGAAAGAAAAAGACGGATAGTGTTAGTGCTTTGCACCATTCTTCTCTAAGATCAAAGTGCTGGGTTGTATGGATTCATTGGTCTCACACCGACTCTTGGGGTTCTTGCCACTCCATTCACTCAGGAGGAAATGATATATAACTTTCTCTTTCAAGCTGGTGCTGAGGTTGGGTTATAAAGAAGGAAGGGAGAACTTTGTCCTTTAGCCATCATGAATCAAAAAGAAGACAAAATTCCTTTGCAGCCTCTTCTGTGTAAATTGAGACTGTAGCATTTTCCTACCCAACTTAAACTTATCCCTAGGAGAGACTGTGGGATCTTCATAGTTTTAGAAATCTTGTGTCGAGGTCCAGCATGACTGCTTTGCTGTTGTTTCTGAGTTCTTGTCTTGGCTGTCCCTCATCCCTACCTTTCAAGCTAAGTTTCTACAGCTGTTTATTTTCTGTTCTTCATTACATTTATCAATAACCATATAATAAAGTTAGTATCTTGAGCAGAGTATTTTTGAGTTCTCCTTATTCCCAGGTAAGTATTTTGGATATTGGTATAATAGAAAAAGCACCAAACTGAAATTAGAAGACTTCGGTTTGAATCCTGGCTCTGCCATGTAGTTTTGTGACGAAGGTGAAGTTTGTTAACCTTTGAGCCACCCTCCTGACAATCTTATTCAGGGTCACGTGATTAACTGACAGAACCCTGAACCCAACACACATCTTCTGGTTCTACATCCAGTAAGATAAGTTGTGTGAAAAAGTGTCTTACAGAGTGTCTCCCGCTCAATAACATAAATAAGCATGCTTATGCTTATTGAATCTGAATTGAGTTCTTAAAAGCGTAAAAGAGAGAAAAGAAAAAGTGAAATTAAATATAATTCTGTATTGAGTTATTGATGGTACAGTTACTAGCATACATTTATTTTCTCTTTCTCTGGCCCCTTGGGTGGGTTGCTTGGATTCTCAGATTACTTCAGTTATGGGGAGAAGAGTTTAGCTCAAGGAGCCATCTCTAGATGCCCCAAGAATGAGCAGGTAAACCTGCTCTGAGAATGAGCAGATAAATTTTATTAAGCTAAATAAAAATTGTAGTTTGCAATTTGTTTGCCGTGTAACTTTTTTCACCCTAAGGATAATGTTTTATTGACGATCAAAGGATCTAAAGAGACTGCTTTGTGATTGGACTGTGAATGTGTGGCATGGGCAACATTTTCAGGTTTATCCTGGCTCTGCACTTGTTAACAATGAATTCTCAAGTATTGATTGTGGAGGGCAGCCCAGGAGATCATAAATATCTCATCAGCTTGAGGGCTGTTTTCCGACTTTCTGTTTATCTGCTTCTTACTTCAAGTATTCACTTGGAAAAAAACTATCCTAAGGTAGGTCAGGTTACAAGCTGTCATCTTACCTAGGTATTCATATTATAGGAATGTGTTTTATTTGTGAGTTTTCTGGAAGCACAGGGCCAAGAAACCATAAACTAGCTCTTCAGGGCTTCTAATATCCCTCTTTTCATTCTGAATTAATTTATCTCCTTACTTGGTTATGGACAGCTAGGATCATATATGTGTAGAGATTAAAACAGATTAATTACATCTTTGTATAGTTCCCCAACCATTCCTTAGCATTTACAAAATTCCTTTAGCTCTTGCAAGTTCCTGAAGGAGTTTTATGATGCCCCAGAGCTCTTAGTTTTGCTGTTTAAGATTCATTTCCTGGCTTTAGTCTACACTTATTTTTATATGTGAAATAACTTCAACCTGCAGCATTTTTGTTGTGTTGTCTGTGCATGCTTAGTACTTCATTAGACTCAATAACTTGTCAGTCATTTAATTAATTTATTCATTCATCATTTAACATGTTATTGAGCCACTAGTAGAGGAAGGGCTCTGTAGGTGCTGGGAACACCCATCTGAATGACATGCTCTCTCTGCCCTTGAATACTTCATAGTCCTTTTAAAATTATTTTATTTGAAGCTACTTTTAGACACACAGAGAAGTTACATGTGCGGAGTTTCCGTTTATCCCTCCCGCAATCTTCCTTGGTGTTAACATTCTACCTAACTGTAGTACAGTTATCAGAACCTGGAAATTGCTTAGCATTAGTACAATACCATTGAACTGAAGACCTTATTTAACTTTCACTAACGTCTTACTACATTTGGGCTGCTGTAACAAAGTACCATAGACTGGGTGGCTTATAAACAACAGAAATTTGTTTCTCACAGTTCTGGAGGCTGGAAGTCCGAGATCAGGGTGCCAGCATGTTTGAGTTCTGGTGACATCCCTCTTCTGGACCGCCGGCTTCTCCTTGTATCCTCCCATGGCTGAGAGCAGAGAAGGGGAAAGCAAGCTTCCAGTCCAACACCACAAGATTCATTTTATCCTTCCCCTTTCCTCTATTTGTAACTTCTTTCTTCAACGGTGAAAAACTCAGTTCTTGGGTTGTTTAAAATATATTT